AATTATAAACTTGTGCTTAGGACTTTTTTCAAAAGAAGATGTATCAGAATGGGTACAAGCAATGGCCAAAGTCAAGACCAAAATCAATAAAGCGAGGCAGCTACAAAAGAAGTTTTCAAAAAATATTTGCAAGCAAGTTAGGAAGAAACTATGGAATGACAGATGTATCAGATTATGGAATTTAGGAAGAAAACCCAAAATATTCAGATACAGGGAAAAAGACATACATAAGATAAGGAAAAAGCAGAGGAAATCAAAAGGCCTTAATCAGAAAGAAACAAGTCCAAAAGAGTCACAAGAAGACGACATAGAAGACTTTTCCGCACAAATCTAAGACAAAATCTTGATTTGGGAATGGATTAAAGAGGGAAGAAAATGGTTAGGAATATAAAAAGTAGTCTAGATTTTGAAATGATGAACTGTAGTGATGAACTGCAGGCAATGATCTTTGGAATCGAACTCCATAAGTAAGTAAATAACAAAGAGAGCAACTTTATTCATCTCCAAAGTCACGCCTAGAGATGTTAGTCAAAGACGGGTGTTCAAGGCAATAGAATAGTTTATGCAATATGATGTATTATATATTATTTGTTTTTTGTAAAGATTTAATAAACAGTATGCACTTGTTTGACTACGGGAAAAAAAAAATAATATTAAAAAAATATTATCATTAATATTATATATAGTAATTTAATTATTTTTTAAATATAAAATATGAATTTGTAATTATTATCAAAATAAAAAATAAAATTTATAAAATTTATAATTTGATTAATTTTTTTTAATGATATCAAATATTTAATATATTATAAATCTTTTATATTTAATATATATTAAAATCAATTAATAAATTCAAATAATTTAATTGAATGTTATTAGAAGATTTAATATAATCAAAATTTTAAAAAAAGCTTGTTAAAAAAATTTTTTTTTGTAAATAATCATATGAAATTTTTTGAAATCAAATATTTATAAAAAAAAAAAAAAAAATTATCAGAAAAAAAAATAAGAAAGAAATTAAAATATTAAATTATCTTAAAGTATTTGTTTTTGGAATTAAAATAAAAGAATTTGACAATAATATTCAATGGTTTGCAATTTTTAATTAAATATTATATTTAAAAAAGAAAAGAAAAAAGTCAAGAATAACATATACTGTATGTATATATACAATATATGTATTAAAACTGTTTTTTCTTGTCATTGAAACAAAATAAGAAAAGAAAAATATATAGACTATATTAAGTGGAAATGATGGTAACTATTGAACATTTCTTTGAGTTGATAAAGATTTAAAATACGTACTTGATCTTAAGTAATAGATTCATCTCACATCTCACGTGTATATTTTGAATCGCATAGTCCGTTAAAGTAGTTTATGATTGATGGATATGGCTTAACAGAATTGCTAATTATATATTTATGCGATCAACTTGACGTAATGAGGTTTTTCTTGGAAGGTTCAGTTCACTCTAGAGACAAGCTTAAAACTTTATTATATCGAGGTTCGCTACATCAAGAGCTTGGTGATATTTAATCCTCGAAAATTTTTAACAAAAAAGTAATGACAAATAAAATCTGTTTGTGTTCAAATTAGGATAAAATTGATTATCGATAAAAATTTCACAACTTTTTTTTGAAAAAAGATGACCAGTTATTTGCGTAGTCTTCTAGGGGCTACAAAATTGGTATTTCAGAAATCCCCCAAAAAGGTTCTTCCACCTATAAGCGACACTGAACTGCGTCAGACGGCCTTACAGGTTTACGGTGTGAAGTATGTCTCGAAAGAAAATAACCATTCTTTTACCCGACTGGCTTTGCTTGGAGATAGTCTTTTGGGTTATCATGGTATTCCATTATCGGAGAATTCAATTTACTTATTCGGAATTCTAAGCGTTTTCTTAATAAATTTTGTTCACCAAAAAAATTCACATTTTTCAACTAATCGAAATAGTGGCACACCATTTGCACGAAAAATTCCCTTATTATAGTAATGGGCAACTTTCGGCTTGTCGATCCATGCTTGTTTGCAGTTACCAGCTGAGCTCTTTTGCTGTCGAATGGGGTCTTGATCGGATGACTAATGTTGACTTGAAAGCAGCAAAAACGAACAAAAGAATACTAGGCGAAGCTCTCGAAGCATATATTGGCGCATACTATCTCGATGCGTGCACGTTGTATGGAGACAATTATGGCCACACGAAGGTGAGAGAATTATGTATCGAGCTGGTTGATCCTTTGCTCGAACAAATGATGAAAACGTGGAAAGTATGTTGAATATTTTATGCGTGTTGTGAGTGTACGGATTGTAGAAAAAAAAGAATTTGCTTATTAGCTACATATTCAATGTAACTTTAAGATTGCATATCTAATTAGGAAGTAGGCTATCTAATGTCAAGAATTTTGCGTTGACTGGGTTTTTGTTTTTAAATTAGCATCTTATACATTCGCCTTAACGAAGCAGTTCAGGAGAAGAAGCTACAGTTACGTCTCCAGAGAATTGTGAGTTTCTTGATTTACCTTTCAGAATGATAGAAATTCCTTCAAATTTACATTTTGATGCTTAATTACAAATAGAAAGGAGGGACTCAAGTTGAGATTTCGAAAAACTCAAAAGTCAATAATGACAAAGGTGCAAAGAAAGCAAAGGCTGTTATGAACCAACAGAAAGAGAAGCCAAATGTTAAAGAATCCAAAAAATCACAGAAGCTAACCGGACAAATAGTGCCGACTAAAAAAGAAACGATTATTATAAAATCATCTGGTTCAGGCGCTAAGTTAACGGATTCAGGAAAATCTACAAAGATCACGTCAAACCCCACACAAGAAGCCTCTCATCCGTCCCACGTCCTTGGAGCAGTGCAACTTACTCAGAAGGGTACAAATGTTATAAAGCAAGCCAAGGTTAAAAAAAATGCCAAAGTTCAAACTGAAACAAATGAGCAGAACAAAGTCGCACCTACAAAGTCGAAAGAATCAACAAAGTCCAGTAAATTGGCACCTACCGCGAATTTGGAAAAATCAAGAGAAACAGATAGTTCAAAGAGAAATGAAGATTCACTGATAAAACCTCAAACGGCCAAGAATGAATCACCAAAGCCTTCTCGTGTGGTAACTAACAAAACATTAAGGCCCACTGTTAAAATCACGCAACACGTGTTATATGCACCGCCACCTGAAAGGATTAATCCTTCGAAAGTAAAAATCACTACGACAAAGTCACCTCAAGGAGTCTCAACTGGTGTGACAAGTAAACGTAGAAACCCTCATTTGCCAAATCAAATAGAACATCCCATACAATCATTCGATGTTCCATTTGCAACCTTTGCTACTGATTTCAAAGAGCTTTCTGCCTCCTTACCCACGGTCACGGCAGCTACGAATCCGAATGTTGGATGGAAAGATAGTATAGCTGCACATTTTACAGTTAAAAAACCTCGCCTTAATATACCAACAACGTTAAATTCCAAATTATCTAAAATTACCCCCAACGTTCAGAGCATAAGTAAGAAATTACGTTCGCCCAATGTTATTCAGGCCTCTCAACAAAAGAAAACTAAAGAAGTCAGCAAACAACTTTCAAACACCAAACAAGTTGCCAAACTCGTCGTTGGGCAAGGTCTAGTGAAACAGGTATTTACAAAAGTTTCAGGTGCCGTTATAAGATCCTCGGAGAATCGGGAACGTAATGTAAGCATTTAATATATTGTATACATCAAATTATTTCCTCATCGTAAACACAGAAACTGATAACTCATTACTTTCACTAACATAGTTGAGAAGGAGACAGGAAGATCTAAGCAAATTATCTATCCAAGAATTGTTAAGAAGAATTAGAAAACTTGAATGATAGAAGCGTTTACAAGTGAATTTGGGAGTTGTTTTGATCTACGTGAATTACTTGGTGTTATCGATGGTGGATTTTTCGGTAGGCATCATTCGAATCTCTGGATATGTAAGAAAATAAGAAATATCAAGAGTAATAAAAACTCTATCTTTAATGTCCCATCTGTTTGCCGTGATGCTGTGGATATCTCATGGGATTTATAATAAAAATTTTGAAAAGGACTTGATAAGAGAAACCTAAATACGAAAAATTCATTTACTGTATATACTATACAACAGTCTGTTTTGTATAAGATTAATAATCTATAAAAAACACTGCTTATCGCAATCTAATTTTAAATATAAATAAAATGATAAATAATTTACAGTGTATACATTATATTTTATTAACGTAAAATTTCTAAATTCATGTGACCAGTTTGTTTTTTTTTTTTTACAAGCACAAATTAAGTTAATTTCGGCTAAAAAAGCGAATTGAACAAAGTTTTTAACTATATAATTACAGGGTATAGTCAACAGTGATGTTGCCTTCTTTTTTTTTCTCGATAATAATAAATGTTCAACGCTTGACCCTTTAATCGTAAAGAAATCGTTTAGGTCGAGATGCTCAAAATCGATAAAAGAGAAAAAATAATTGTTGAAAAAAAAAATTTTGTACCATGTATACGCCTTTCTCGCCTTTGCAAGACCCGGTTTCTTTCGTTCAACTCTACGAGAATCTCTCGTGATAAGTTTGGCTTTGGTAGAATATCAAATGTTCGATCAGTACGTCTCCGATAGTTAATCAAAAAAATTCATAGAGAATTACTATTCTACCTTTTCGCAGAGCTGGTTTAAGATCGGGATCGTGTATGAGCAGACATTTTGAAATTCCGTGTGCAATCGCGCCTGCTTGACCTTGGGAACACGATAAAGGATCACACACCTTGTTCACTTGATAATTTTCATTCAGGGTAACTAAAATCTAAAGACGTACCGGATATACCACCTCCTAAAACTCTGATCCACACATTATACTTTCCGAGCGAATTAGTCACTTGAAAAGGCATCAAGATGCGTTCGCGATACTCCAACAAAGACATATAATCTACTAATGGTTCTCCGTTAATTTTCATCTGACCTTCGCCCTCTACGACCCATACATGCGCAACAGCTTCTTTCCTTTTACCAACACTATACGCCCTTTGATATTCATCCAGCTTTTTATTTGCTTGCAATTCTTTTTTTGCTTTTTCTGGATCCTGTCGTCTAAATAGATCCAGGAACTCATGTAATTCAGGCGCTGATTCTGGAACGACTGCATCTAGACGGTGCAACATTTTTGTTATTATATCATATTGGTTAAATTTTAATTCCACTCCCAAATCTACTTCTAATCGGTTTTTTAGCTTCCACAAAGAGATATTCTTGTCGTCACGTTTCGCCGTTTTATAATTTTTATATTTCGTCACCAGTTCGTTAAGTTGTATTAGTAGATCATTATATGTAGGTTTTGCGGTAAAATATGAAATTGACTCGGGACGTTCGCGTGGCATTAAAATGTCCAGTTCGTCGGTTTTAAGCTGTAGTGTTTGGCCTGGACTTGTTGCCAGGCATCGTAGAATAGATGTCTTGGGGACAGTTATGTTCCCTATGCAGGAATGCTTAAAACTAGAAGAACGCCAAAGATTCTGGGTAAGCCTGATTCCTGCATTTAAGAACATTTTTTTATACCGAACGAGGAATCTTTCTAATGCATTAAATAATGTTAGATTGTGTAACGTGGAAAACTAAGATAAAATGTGATTAACAACGTTGATTTACATGTGTAGGCTAGAAACCAGTCGTCATGGGAGCTAAGCAATCGACCCCGTCAGAGATAACCATATACAACGAACCGCAAATTCGGGTAAATATATCGCTACTGGCTCCTTTTGCTGAAGAATTAACGCACCGATGTAACATTGACTTTCAATTTAGTTTTCACATAATTTGGTCAATCAATTACAAAGAGAGCGGTTGGTCAGTTTTTTTTTTTCTTACAAAGGTTGCAATTAAAATTTTGTAATAGCTTAATTTATTTTCCGACGCCTAATAATTCTGTATAATAGAAAAAGCTCCAGGAAGACAATACACGAAAAACTTCTAAGCCATCAACGCGACTCGATACCAATGAGCCGATATTACCCGAAGAATTGGACAGACTCGTTCGTGCTCGTGTCGAAGAAGAACTAAATCGAATTAGAGAACGAGATGAGGAAATTCAACAACGTGCCAAGGAAGAACTTTTTGAGAGAACAATAATTGAGGATAGTGGTGCCAACGCAGTTGTAACGGAACGTGATATACAGGAATTGATTTTACGAGTTGAACGGTACGCATTGGTAATATAGTGAGGATGAGTTATCGTGCATCTTCGTTCATTTTGATCATTTTGATCATTTTGATTTCAATAGAAAATTCGAAAATAAGGTGTCGCCTGATTTAATTGAACACCAACAAGCCGTAATCTCTTGTTACAAGTAATTCCATTCATTTTTGGATTGCATTCAGTTGTGAGAATTTGTCACAGGAATAATGAATGTTTCATACTTCAAAGAAATAATAGCACGCGTACTCTCGACTGTTGGGAACAGGTGCAGTTATTTAAGCGTAAGACTCGAGATGCTGTTCAGGTAATTCACCTTTTCTTTTTAAATATTAAACTGATTTAGCTATTATCATGGTGTTGAAAATTTTCCTTGCTTTTTTTATTTTATTTTATTTTATTTTATTTAGGAATATGTTTCTACTCAGCAATAAACCTTTGTACACCAATGTTCGTAAGTATTGCAGCACCCATATCCATAAGGTTCTCGCAAAATTATGCTAGTCTTTAAAGCAACTTCATATAATCACAAGTGATAATGGAAAAAAATACCGGATAGTAAATTTAATTAATATTAGGAAAGATGAAAACACTGTCCTATCAAAAAAATAGTACATTAGCTATAGTCGTTGACAATAAAAAAGATGATTCTAGATCTAAATGCAAACACGAAACATAAAAATAATGGTTTCCGGATGGTCTAATATGAAAACGGGAAACAAATTTTGTCTATAGATGATGTTGGTGGCACGCGACTAATGATTTGTAAGGGATAAGGAAATGGAATTTCTGTTGGAGGTAAACTTAAAGAGAGATGAAAACTATGAATAGTTTTCAAAAGGTTTTAGTTTAGAACATTGGATCAAGAAAAAAATAATAAATGAAGCACCCTATCAAATCAATACTACCACCTTGTGAAGAGGGTTTCCCCTAAAGGTATTCACAAAAAATTTATTATTATTATTATTTTCGCGCTTAGTTGATATTCTCCTCGGTTAAGCTCTCAGTTTTCTTGTAGCTGCATTATATAAGTGCACCATATCTACGAGGAAGAACGTGATGAAAACGCAAACCCCAAAACAATAGCAGTCAGTACAAAAGCCACTACAAGAATATAATTCGAACCACCACCACCCCCCTCATTACTAGATTTTTTTCTAGGCTTAGTCTTACGAGATTTGGTGGGAATTTTAGGTTTTTGTGAGATTAATTCGTACCCGAAAACACTCTTAATCGAATTCCAATAATAAGTCTGCCAATTGCGACGAACGGTTTCTTCCTCCCCAACCGGAACGCCCTCTTGTATGACATGAACTACTGTGTAATCGCTCGTTTGTTCAAATTTTAGAGTGACCGTTGAGAAGTGACCTTATTTAAAAGTTCATATGGGATAGTTAAATATTTTCGCAAGACAAAAGAAAGAACCCTTTTGAAATTTACCTTCAGGCCACGTTTTAAGACGCCAAGTTTGTACAATTTTCTCATTGGGAACCTAAACAAAAAACAACGTTACATAAAGATTACGATGCATGCATATCTACTTGTTAATGTTATTATCACGCGCATAGAAACCAAATACAAACAAGTTCCACAATCGTTCCAGTAATATTTCCATCGAATAAACTAAATGAACTTCCAATGTGCTTGAAGATATCAGGCCTTGATCTCGTCCATGCAGCCACGAGGCCCGGATCTAGTAAAGTCTCGTATATTTGGTTTGCCGAGGTTCGAAGCTCGACCGTATCTTTGATTGTTGTCGTATTGACAATCTTGGTACTTGCCGTTGATTTAGATGTTGTATAATAAGAACCCGAATTAAAAGTCGAAGAGGCCGATGTCCCAGATGACTCGTTGGGAGTCGCCGGTCGAGGGGGAGTTGATGCTCCAAGTTTAGAAGGTTCGATATAAACATCTTTGCTATGAGCTGAGAGAGATCGAAGATTAATGTTGTTAATATTCAATTATGCAGAGCGAGAAACAATTAACGTACTTTCTACCATATCTTTCCCAAATTGTTTGAATTTCTCGCTCAACAAAGGAGTCAAATGTTTGCGAACCACCACTTTTATGGGTTCTTTAGCAGGAGTTTCGTCATCCACGCTAACCTCAAACTACAAAAGTGTTAAATATATATATAGATAAATGAGGCATATTGGATCTTGGTAGACGCGTCATCTCACCACACAGTCCTCTCCCAAGTTCTGTAATTCCGGAACGCGAATCCTTCCCGCAGCTTGTGTGTCATCTGGTGCTACACCTAGATTTCCGAAGTAACAGTCATTTCATGTTGATGAGTGGGACAAATTAGATGTGTTCGAGATTTTTTTTATTTACCAGACCAAGTCAACTCTATCACCATATCAATAAATGGAATCAATTTCCCTTTTCTCTGGTTCAAGTCTGCATCGCCCGAGCACTCGGTAAGTTCCGTTGTCTTAACGACAATACCATCTTGTTCGGCCTCGAGGTCAACGAGTTTCTCCTTCAAATATTCTTTGGCCCACTTCGAACAGTTTTTGGTAGTCCTATAGATTATTAATTTACGAAACATGTATTTTCATTAAAGCTGATCTTGAATTCGGGATTGTTAAACGAAATTTTATCCATGAAAAATTCTTACCAATGCCTAGAAAAAGTAAGGATGCAAGAAAACTAAGCATATGAGAAAAATTCAATACATAAAATAAATGTCCATGATGATGTCTTTACCAATTATTCACGTTTTTCCAATTGCTCATTTTTCTATTCTATGGGGGAAAATTGAACGAAAGGTGGATAAGGAGGCACGAGTGAAAGATCATAAATAGCTGCCCTCAATCGAAAAATTCAGAACATTTATTGTTCTAGAATATTCGATCATGGAATACTATGTAAATTTTTCCACGCCCAAGCGATTTTTTGTGAAAGAAGATATAAAAAAATAATCAAAAATCTTGATCTTCAAATAAATAAATATTTATTTATATTAACTACAGTAGAACCTCTATAAATTAATAATTTTGGAATCACTGCTTTTTTCAAAGTTTTCTAGATTATCAATTTATAAAGTATTAATTTTATAGAATATTAATTTATGAAGGTTCTATTGTATTTAATATTAATAATATTAATTTATATAGTACATAATTGATATTATTATTTGAAAATCAAAATATAATATAATTATTTAAGTATTGTATTTCTCATTTATTTTTAACTATCATAATTTATCTAACTAGCATATTGATTTGAAAATTTTTTTTTCAATTTAAGTTAAATAATTATTATAGACAAACTAATATTCAATTTATTGTTAACTGTTAACTTATATAATACTGTAGATATGCTGTAGATATTGTTTCTTTCAAAATGTATATCTTGCAATATACAAATAAATAAATAAATGCTATTTATCTATTTAAAAAAAAAATTTTATTGAATTTAATTATGCACAATCATGTGACTGGTATAATGCCACGTTAAAATTGATTTTTTTTTTTTATTCGAAATCACATTTTATAAAAAAATGCCTAAAGGTAAAAAGAAAGAAGTTTCGAGGAATCTACCGACCATGCCCGTGAGTTCCGCAATGGACCTAGACGATGATCCTCCAGACTTTTTGCCTGAAGCCCCGGTTTTCACAAAGGTAGCAACCGACGACGCTGCTTATAAAACGTAGGGATGTTAGGTTGAATTCCATAATTGTTGAGAAAATCTTTGCTGATTAGCTTTGTTCTATGTAAATTTCTTTGGTTACATAGTTGGGTATGCTTATACCCTGTCTACTTTGATTCGAAAAAAACTGTTCAACAAGGAAGGAAAGTTAGAGCAGACATTGCCGTACCAAATCCCTTAGCGGTGGACATTGCTGAATCTGTGAAAACTTTGGGTGTATCTTGTGTGTTTGAGGTAAAGTTAACATATATTGATTCTGTTCTCTTTTACCGATTCGAAATGTTTACTACATCATCCTTTAATAGCCACGTAAAACCCATCCTACGGATTGGAAAAATCCCGGAAGGGTACGTGCACGATTATTTACTGAACTCAAGAAACCTTCTATGGATGACATCCCTACGCGTAAGTTTAAATTTCTCTTTAGTGTGTTCTATTTATCCCGCGGAATTCATTACAACGTTTTACATTTCTTCAGGAAAAGAATTGATCAAACGTGTGGCGGAATTATTGCCCGAAATTCAAAAAAAAAATCCTCAGCAATTCCCGCCACCTCATTCCCCTGCTATCTCTAATGGGGCATCGAAAGAAACAAAAACTCCTGATGCTGGAGCAACGTCTAGTTCATCTCCTTCATCTTCAACAAGTGGACCAACCCCTGTAGGTGGTGGTTCGGGGTCTTCGACATCCTCAAAGAAGAAGGGCAGAAAAGGTCGAAAATAAATTATAGAGTCATTCAAAAGGGAATATTGGACTGGAACACCAATTCATGGATAGTTGTATATATAATAAATAATATCCAAAGGATGCAATGGTAATTTATTATTTTCACTATTGGTTATTTAGTTACTTTCTGATCTAAAATAACATTTTAATAATACATGATTGAAGATTATTACACTTACCACGACGTCAAAAAATTTAGTAGTCTGAACATTCTAGATACTCATAAATATGGAGTATCGTACAATCTATCTCCGGCATCGCCTGTAAAATTTTGACCAAAATATCACGACTTAATATCTTACATAATAGATACGAAACGCTCAATATATCAGAGGTTATTACCTAATCCCGGAACAATATAACTTTGTAATTATCGAAAAAAAAATTTAATGAATGTTAATTTTCTATATCTTTTTAATAAATAAAATAAAAAAAAGCAATCTTTCTTTACCCGCGTTCATCTAAAACTTCATCAACCGCGCCAACAAAAATTTCTACATCATGATGATTTTCTATGATGTTTTCGATCCCCTGAAAATTGTGACTTTTTATTATGAAATCCTTATATGATATAATAGTTTTAAAGAAAAATTCTAAGGAAACAATTTACCTGTTTTGAGGCGCAGACAGTAACAAATTTGATTTTGGATTTAATTCCCCAGTCCCTTAGAATGCTAATTGCAGCGATAGCCGTACCCCCAGTAGCAATCATGGGCTCTAAAACGATGACCTGGTCAACGTTAGGCACTGAAGGCAACTTGTTGTAATATTCAACTGGTTGGAGCGAGACCTAAAAGAAGTTGCGTCTGATTATTGCGTACTATGTGATGATGTAATTTAGAAATACTGTGTTACCTTTTCCCTGAAAATTCCGAGGTGCAAAATTCTTGCAGATGGAATTATTTCATGGAGGGCTGTTTTTGATTTTGCAAGGAATTCACGTTATCTATTAATCAATTATACTTAAAAACCTGGAAGGTGCGCTCCTAACCTTCGGCAAAGCTCAGTCCGGATCTTAATACCACCACAAAACCTATCTTTGTCGCCAATTCGACTCCAGTATATTCTCCTAAAGGACTTGTAAGCTAAAATTGGCGTCCGTCAACATATATATCTCGAACACACTAGTAATCCAAAAAAAAAACAGTTTACAATATTTGTTTCCTTTATGGGCAAGTCGGCTGTTGCTTCGTAACCAAGAAGTTGTCCAATTTCGTTTAAAAGTTCTCTCACTTGCTTTGGCTTCGTATTTTTATTACGAAGGATTGACAACTTGTGAGCAACGAGCGGGTGTTTTGAAATTTTGACGCTGGACATTTCAGAAGAATTTGGCTTGTAATTATTAGACACTCTTAGAATTCTTTTATTCTGGGGTCACTGGTCTATCAAGTCACGCGGTCAACTTGATCCCTTATAACGTTAATATATTTTTTGATGCGTGCGTTCGGGAGAATAGGTTTTTTAGAACGCAATAACATACAGTACATTAACTTTTCCGCTGTAATCGGAAAAACTCTAATTTATAAGGTTTGTTTAATTAATTATATATATGTCGTGTAATCTAAAATAATTCTGCAAAGGGATCTTTAAAATGCATATATATTTATTTCTTTTTAACACGAATTTTTCCTAGATTTGTCAAATTTTCTGAAAAAAGAAAAAAAAAAATAATATAAAATAATTACAGGATAAATTTATTTACAATCTGTATTAACTACTATCTTAAATGCTAGAAACGTATAATCAAAAAATCCTTGATTTTTATTATCCAAAACTGAATTAAAATTAAGACATTTCAACTATGTAAATTCTGCAGCATCAGATGTCAAATGCCTGATACAAATCTTATTGAACGAATCACCTTATTTTAAAAGTAATCGCGGACCCAAGAATTAGGCGTGCAAATCAGAAATTCAACGCAAGCCCTAAATGGCATGATAAATTTGTAGAAACGTTATCCGCGATGGCACAGAGTTTTTTTCAAACCTTTCGTTCGTATCTTACCACTATTAAATATTAGTGTATAAAGTCTGACAGATCAAATATTAAATGTTCATCAAGACTGCCTCGTCTTGGCTCAATGGACCCACGGATTGTCTTTGCTGCTGTTGATGATATTCGGTGCTTGGAATGATTCGGGTGTTAACGGGGGTGGTGTAAGTTTGCCCACTTGACAAAGGTTTAGAACTGCTTCCGGCCTGAAAATTTTTCAGTTGATCCTGCATCAAAAAATTACTCTTTTTAAAATTTAACCGTTCAATGTACAACAATTGACGTTGCTTTTCTAATTCTTTCTTTTCGTTTTCGAGTGCACTCTCCAACTCCTCAAATTGTTGCAGCTTAAGTTCAAGTTTTTTCAATTGGTTTTCAATAACGGCATTTACGAGGCGTTGAATTTCTCGTTCTTCGTAATCCGCAAGAACTTTTGCCTTTGCTGCCGCGGAACCCATTGCCGTAGCACCAGCCCTTTCCAATAATCTAGATCGAGTAACTACCGAATCGGATGTCAATGATGACTCTGGTAATTCTTGCTTTGTTTCGATCGCCGATTCGACATCCATCTCGTCTTCGTGTTTCACGTCAGCCATCGGGGTGCTCACGGCTGTCTCTGCGTTTTCACCAGAATTTACTCCGTTTGTATCTTTAACATCTTTGTGAGTAGATTTCTTGGTTTCCTCTAGTTGTTTCAACGCCGATTTCGCAGCGGCAGCAGCAACACCAGGGTTAACGACCGAGGCCAAGAATGCAACGACCGACATCACAGGATTATCCGCTTGACTAAAAGGTATCCGTTGATATTGCAATGGACCCAAGTCGGACATCCGACTGCCATTAAGTGGATCCTCGATCGGAAATTCCAAAAATTGCAAAATACATTGTTCTCGGGTGCGGGTTCCAACGTGATCAGAAATCTTGTTCCAATCATCCTCGAATAGTTCTATACCCTCAAAAAGTAACAGAAGCTCTTGTTCTGTCCAATCTTCGTCTTGGGAATGCTTTAATGGTGTGTCATCCATCTTCAAGAAATCCCCGCTATACATCGTCGTAGGATAACGTCCCTCCAAATAACAATTTGGGCACAATTCAAAGTTTTGAGTTTTCAGACTGTGATAACGAACCCGAGTGCAATCCACTCCACAAGTGAAACAGTGATATTGTTTATGATCTGCTGAACCAGAATCCGCGACCATACTCCCGTTTTCGTCTTGTGAGCCGGGTGTACCTGCAGACTGGTAGACGCTTTGACGGATGCTCGCCAATTTATCTGGTTTTGAGCTCGTTGCGATGCCCAGTGAATCAGTAGACATCCCCGTATTTACGGCAGCGGCAGCAGCAGCAGCATTGTTTGGATTGGACATGACCATCGAAGGCCCATTCGGTTGAAAAGGTTGAAGCCCCCTCGGTGTATCGGCCATGACACGAAAATGTCCGGTGAACGGTGGTCCAATCAACGAAGGGCGAGTTTCCGGATCAATCTTTAAAGAAAATTGGCAAGGTTATTTTTTTTGCGAACAAGCATGTTGTTTGGAATGCGCATGAATCAGTAATTACTTGATAGTTTATTAAGCCCCATTGTTCCAAGAAAGCGTGTATACGTATGATAGCGCACACGTCGCCCGCCAGATTTCGGCGACATGCTGTGACCGTTAGGTACTCTCCGGGATTAAGACGGTACGTGTTTATCATGAAATCTCGATATTCCTTGTAAGTGGTTGGATTTTTTGACTTGTTTTTGTTGTTGAAGAATTCGGGGAGAGATTTTTGTTCAATGGGATGAATTTTAGCAATGTTGAACCAGGCAGCATATGAAGGAATGATGATTTCCTGCGTTTGCTGTGATAAGTACTTTCGAGCGTCTTCTTCGAGTCGTTTCTTTTCTTCCTCATCGTTAGTCCCGAGCATTTCTTGAGTATTAGCGGACTCAGCCAAAGGTTCGTTAGCGCCGTCCTCTGAATGTCTGATATCATCGGAAGTCAACATGTGCTCATCATCTTCAGTCTTTTTAGGCGTGACGGCGGACGTGTCCGCGCGGTTAGTAGATGAGCTGTGACCACCAGTTGTCCTATTTTGTTCTTGCTCGTTCGCGTCGAGGTCCATATCTGAAGAATAAATCATAGGTTAATCGCTGTTAATTGAATTTACCAAGTTTTCGAAGTTAACCAATTACAAACGGCCTTACTATTGTTATCAGCAGGTATTCGAATTTCCTTCATATCTGATGTCATGGAATCCACATCCACGTTATCGTCTATGGCTCCAGAATCGTCTTCGAGAGCAGGGTTTACATCAGAATCCTCTTCCTCGTTGTGAACAATTTCAGGCGGAATCAATTGAGAGATATTTGCAATTTCACCACCGGCTACCGGATCAAGTTCATTTTTCTTTGCACGAGTTCCTCCTACATTCAATGATTCCTGCTCTATATCCACGATGCTCAGGTTTGGATGCACTGGTTTGTGATCAAAGTCTGGCGATTTTAGCCTTGCACGTTTGGCGCCTATGTTAGGACGTGCATCAACATCCATATTTGTATGCGAATCCAATGCGTCTAAACTTCGTTTATGGGACAGAGAAGCATCGGTTTCCGAAACCACCGACTGATCCTCTGCGGACGTCCTTCTGTTATCCGGATTATCCGTAATTTCATAGTCTTCCTCGTTCATCCATTCGTTGAACTTGGCACTGTCCCTAAGCCAACGATCGGTAACATTCCAAGGACCAATATGGTTGGGAATTGGTTCAGGTTCCGCATGTTCAACATCATCTACCCAAGCGTCGTACGAATCTGGGTAATACCACCAGTGCAAGAAAACTTTTCCATTTTTCTTTTCCAAAGTTCTATACCATTCTTCGTCTGCATCATCCATCTCGTTTGTCACTTGTACAATATGAGTTGCTTTCGTGGCATCCTGAGTCATTTGCCCTGGTGAAGTTGCGATCATTAATACCATTTTCATTCTATAAAGAAATTAAGTTCAGGAATGTTAAAAACCTCCAAATTACCTCCCAAACCATTAACAAGTGAGATCATTTGTTGTCTTTTTATTGTATCGTCGGATCTACTTCTAATGATTATTATGTGTTTCTTGACTAGCCCCTTGGCTTCTAACGCATTTCTGATTTGTGTTACCATTTCGAGCAAGTCCTTTCGACTCATATTCTCCCAATCCCACCGCCTCCACTTTTTCGAACCTCTGAAACTGTAAGCAGTACGAATAATGTGATAAATGGCAGAACCGATTGCGGGCGCTGGGTCAAGCTTGAAGAGTTTTGCCGGGATCTTTGGGGGAGGGGAATCAGTTCGATTTGCAAAGCGACCTAGAGCCTCTTCCTGAACCTTTTGAAAATGACCAAGAAACAGCGCAAGCTCTTTCGAAGTTACATTTGATAATTCTGCGTGTCTTTGAAAAATCTCACGACTCAATTTCTCGCGGATTGGTTCCAACTTAGAAGCTATCTCAGGCTGCTCGTAAAATTGTATGTCAATAACTAGCCTCCGAGGCTTTTTCTGGTTCATTTTTTTTGCGTATTGTGAGTCCTGTGGAATATAAGCTTTAGGTGATGTCGTTAGAGCAAATGCAACAGGTGATGATTGATATATCAACTACAAGATTCTACTGACTGACGGATTGAATTGTGGAGTGCTTTAGCTAAAACATTTTATTATTATCGTCATATTTTTACAAGGTTGTATATTGTATCACATGACTAGGTGAACTGATTGGCATGATCATGACTAAATATTATGCTGTATCACTTTGCAAAAGAAAAAAAAAAAGAAAAGTCCAAAGAGTTCGAGAAGCCGTTTATTATTATCGATCGAATAATGGATTATTATTACATCTGGATAAAATGATAATTTGTGACAGGAAAATTCGCGGTATCAAACTATGACACTCGAGTCCATTGTTTATCAATGCACAATAATTCTACTTGCAAAGGAAATGTTTAATATCCGAGTAATATAAACAGGGGTTCCTATTTCAGCCAAATCCATCACCCCCTAACTTGGTGATACATCGCATTATCCATTTTCCGATGAAAACTTCAAAAATCCAATTCCTTCGATACCATGGTCTCGCATTCCTCATCGGTCATCGTTTCGGATCTTTTTATTGCATTATAAGTCAATATAGTATGTCTAGTTGTACCGGAATTAAACCACACGCGTCCGTTGGATCCAATTGCGACCTCCAGGTTGATTCTCTCTCTGAGTAATTTCCATATCGGCGATTCCGGCGACATCAGTCTACACGAATTTGATATATCGATTTAAGATGACCTACGAGGCGGGGAAAGGAATGGCGATCAAAACTCAAGTTAACTAACCTTCGACAGTATCTTAGGGAACACTTTAATAGAAATCCATCCTTCAGCTTTCCATATTCTTTGCTTTTACCTTCATAATCGGTGCACTCAAGCTCCGGCTCTATATCTCTGCTCGCTGATGAAATACGTGCATATACCAAATCCCCAATCTGTGATAATACATTCAGAAGAGGTTGTTGAGGAGCGAATATTGTATGGACAAATTAGTCATTAAAAAAAGCTATTGTAGCTTAAACATTAATTACATTGAGGTCCAATCGATTCTTCTTGGTTGCACCCGCGATCGCCAAAAAAGATAGAATAGCTAGATGGGCGCTTCCAATATCTACCCGATAGTACTCGGCCATTCTACCAGTGACCTTACCGACAACATTCTCACCTCTCACAGGGATGTACTGAAAGAGATGCGTCCGAAATTTAATTCAAAAAATTATATATCTCTCTATGTCCATCATAATGGACTTACTCTTTTCTCATCGGACTCGACAAACCAGGAGTCCTTTTTTTTCATGAGAACACCAGCTTTCGTGCAAACTATCGAATCCTCGGCACGTGATAATCCTGGACCAAGTCCTAAATTACCTGAAACGGTTTCCATCAGCACTGGTTCCCCCGGGAGTACTACTCGAATCGGTTCTACGTTACCGTCAATCTTCATTGTTGTTTTAAAAGCATGTACGTCATAAACATTCAACATTTAAATTAATAACTGGCGAATCAGAGGTTTACGATATTTACATCCAATCATACACTTTATTTAATAAGAACATATAGATCATGTGATCAGATAGACACAATAGTTGCATTGCACACAAGAATTCTTTTTTATAGATATAACAAGAAACTCAGCGAATCAAATAGTGACCCGAACTTATTGCTTATAATGTTCAGAAAAGTAACCTTGAGAATTCTTGGGATCCGGTATAATGGTCTATAAATGGGTGGGTAAGGTTATACAATTTTCATGATATTACAACGACAAAACAAGGAATACTGGGAAGAGCGCAAGAGCTTTTCTTTTTTCATCTACCTTATCTCCTTTTCTCCAGTCAATTGGGCAGACTTCACCATGCTCGTCGGTGAATTGGAAGGCTTCGACAAGTCGAAGAACTTCGTCGACATTACGTCCTACGGGAAGATCTGCAAAGTAATAAAGAAAATCAAGCTTGTAACAAATCGATTAATGGTTACTAAACGAATAAGTTTATCTCGTGAAATGCATACCGTTAATGGTGATCTGACGAATAACACCATTACCATCAATGATAAACAATCCTCGAAGTGAGATTCCTTCTTCTTCGATGAGAACACCATAATCTTTGGAAATAGAATGGTTCTTGTCGGCCACAAGAGGAATGGTAATATTTCCGAGGCCACCTGATTTGATTATAATTATTTTCCTCACAACGATACATACATAAACAGAATCGAAAACCAATGATTACCTTTGTTTCTTGGTGTATTAACCCACGCAAGATGACTATAGTCGACAATTAAGTAGTTCTTTGAATATCATTATAATTTACAATGAAATAAATTAATTTATTTATTAAATAACTGGCTTTTATACTGTATTAAATT